TGGCTGCATAATCGTTGACTCTATAAATGTAGTATATACCACAATAATTTAAGCAATGTTCCATTTATAAATACTTAAGAGTTCTCCCAGTGTTTTAGTTAATAGTGAAAAGACTATTAAAAATAATCTGATAATAAGAAATACAGATGGCCAACAGGCACATAAAAAGATGATCCACATCACTAATCATTAGACAAATGCAAATTAAAACCACAATGAGATATCACCTCATAACAGCTAGAATGGCCACTGTCCAAAAGACAAGAAACAACAAATGCTGGTGAGGGCGTGGAGAAATAGGAACCCTCCTACACTGTTGGTGGGAATGTAAATTGGTGCAACCACTGTGGAAAGCAGTATGGAGGTTTTTCAAAAAACTAAAAGTAGAAAAACCATTTGATCCAAATTCCACTCCTAGGAATTTACCCAAAGTAAACCAAGATTCCTGATTCGAACAGATATAGTCACCCCTGTGTTTATTGCTGCACTATTTGCAGTAGCCAAGATGTGGACGCAACCTAAGTGTCCACCAATAGGTGAATGCATAAAAAAGATGTGGTATATATGCACGATGGAATATTATTTAGCCATAAAAAAAGAAATCCTCCCATTTGCAACAACATGGATGGATCTAGAGGGTATTGCTCAGTGAAACAAGCCAGGCAGAGAAAGACAAATACCATATGATTTCACTTATTTGTGGAATATAAAAACAAAGCAAAACAGAAGGAACAAAATAGCAGTAGACTCATGGACACTGAGAAATAACTAGTGGTTACCAAGGGGGTGAGGTTGGGATGGTTGTGGCAGGGAGGGGGATAAATGGGCACAATAATTAGCAATCACAATCTAAGTTGATCACAGGGATTGTTGAACCACTATAATGTACATTTGAAACATAAGATCATCATTAATACTTTAATAAAAAAAAATCTAAGTATCTCCCTCACAGCCCAATGCCTCCTTATGTCCAATCCTCTTCTTTCCCTTCCCCATAGGATTGGTCTGGAGACACTTCCTAATGAACTTCCTGCATACTAATCTCTGTCTCAGAGTTAGCTTCCTGCCTGGGGAACCTAATTCTGGGGAATTTGGCAATTTTTAGCAAAATTCTATTTGCATTTATCCTTTGACTCAGCAATCTCATTTCCAGTAATATGGCAAGAATATGAAGACATACACAAAGGTATTCACTGCAATATATATGTAATAGTAAGAATACTGGAAAAAAGTGCTAGAAACTCAAATGTCTGTCAGTAAAGAACTAACTGAAGAATTATACTGCATCAATACACTGTAGTATAATAGAACCTAAAGTGCATATCTATATACTGTTATGGAGCCATATCCATGAAATGATGTTAAGCAGAAAAATTAAGGTGGAAAAAAATATTAATAGTTTACTATTGCCTTTTCCAAGATGGGGAAGGACATACATGTGTGTGTGTGTGTGTGTGTGTGTGTGTATAAACAAACAATGGAGTAAAAACATTTTTTTTAAAAAGAGAGGAAGGAAACTGTATGAAGGGGATGGGACAGGGATAGAGTATAATAGGCATCTTAAAATTTTACTTTGGATCCACATACCTATTTTACATAATTATAAAATAAGATTATTTTACAAAAGCAACTCCAAAAGGCAGAACTAAAATAAATAAATGAATCTACGTGTGTGTAATTAGTGCTGTAACCACAAAGGGAAGAACTTTTCTAAGTGACTTTAAAAGGATGGTAATTTGAATTTATATACCCCATAAAATACATCAATCATGGGAATTAATGATGACATTAAGGAATTATTAATTCCTTTAGGTGTGATATTGGTGCCTTGTGGTTACATTTGCAAAAGAGTTTGTATCTTTAGAGATACACATTGAAATTCTTACAGGTGGAATGATACGATGTCTGCCATTTGCTTCAGAATAATCTGGGATGGGGGTGGGGCTGTAGATGAAATTGACTGTGAGTTGGCTACTGAGGTGGGGTAAAGCTGCGGGGGGGTCATTGTACTGTTCTCTCTCCATTGCATCTTTTTGAAGTTTTCCATAATTAAAAGTTAAAACAAACACAAAATAATCTTCAGATTCAGTAGCAGAGATGAAAAATGTAAGTGTAGATGAAAAAAACCCATTTAGCTTGCTGGACAGGATCCTTTGGAATAATTAAGAGAATTAGGCTGGTGGGATTTAACCTGTTTGTCCCTTAGGCTCAGACAGGCTGGAGTGAATCAGATGCACCCTAGCATCCTGAGTAACCCATGGTCACCCCACCCTCTTAGAGGGAAGGAAGTCCAAAGCGCCAGGGCTTGGGGCCGAGGGCCCAGAGCACTACTTGCTCGGTGCGCACGCCCTTCCTAGTAGCAGAAGCCCAGTTCCTTCCGAGATGCCAGTGCCCACTTAAAGATATTCAACCCCTTTGCCCCTCTGGGCAGCTAGAGGTGGCCCAGTGAGCTAGTTTAGGCTGCTGAAATGTAACAGTAGGTCAAACGGTCAGGGCTTCTGGATGTTAAATTATTTTCTGAATGAAAAGGAGCATATTCAGCCGGTATATCCATTCTAGCTTATTCTTGCCTAGGTGTAATTACAGTGCCTGAAATAGTAGTGACAATCCCATCACCTCAAAGACAAAAGGGACATGCCATGATGGGAGTGGCGGGGTGAGGGGCAGAGAGACAGAGACAGGAGTGAATTGGGACATCGTGGAATGTCCTGCCACAGGCCTATCTACCTGGACTTCCTGTTACATGAGAAAAATACACTCCTACATGGTCAGCCCACGGCAAGAGGCCTTCTGTTATGTGTGGCCAGTCACGATCAGTCACTCATTTCACAGGTCATCTCCAAACCCAGACATCCAGAATGAAACTACTGACCCTGCCATCTTCCCCTCATCTCTCTCAGCCCCACAGAGGGCAGCACCGTCTGTACGGCCGTCAGACCATCTTCCCCTCGTCTCTCTCAGCCCCACAGAGGGCAGCACCGTCTGTACGGCCGTCAG